ATGAAATCGAACCTGCATGAGTCGTCCCGGAATGTGGACGGGAATTGAGAGTCGAATGCAAGACACAAATAAGGCTCTTATCATTATAAACATTGATATTTTTTTATCCGAGCTGTGCACGAAGTGCCAATCCCCATTAGTCCATTCACCGCCAAAAACCCACCCTGTTTCTTAAATGATCAAACAATCAAACCGACTCTAAATGCACCAGGCTTGAAACTCAGCGTACAACAAGGTCCGGGAGGCATTCCAACTCAGGATTTGCATATGGGAGGCATCTATCTGGATGTTTTTGTTGATGTTGCACCCAAGCATGGCGAAATCTCCATGCAATATCTTTGGAATACAATATATGTCCCTTGTATTAGGCACTACCATAATTGAGGCTACGGTAGCATGCTCTAACGAATGCATATTTGATTCTTTTAATATGGGCTTTGGATTCCACAGGACCTAAATCCGCCAAGGCCCAAGCCTCGTGCCGCTTCGCGGTCACCATATCCAAACAACTATACCACGGGCCGCTCCCGATCTCCCCCGAGGCTAGGAGATCAACCCTCACGCCCAGTGCCGCAAGGCTAAACCAAGGGTCTAAAGCAACAACACTATCCGGATTTGGGAGGTGCAGCATTAATCATCAGGATCAAACTCAAAATTTTCCAAATCAAAAATATCTTTCCCAGACCGCGGTTACGATTCCACATAGACGCAACACCCAGAAGAAACGGCTACACGAATCTAAGCTAGCAATGGCGCTTTCAATTTCGTCAATAATTAATATATATACATATTATTATTTATTTTTAAATATTCGTATATATATATATAACAATTATAATTCAATTATCTATTTAATTTTTATATTAATTTATTCAACAATATAAAATTTAATTTCATATAATTTTATATATAATAAATATATATATTTGTTATTTATATTAACAATAAATCATTTTAATATCGAATGTATATATATATATATTATTTATTTGTATTATTCATTCATCATCCAACAAATTTCCGCCAACTAGACTCTACCAAAGCAAATCCTAACCACCTCTAGGACGGCTAGCATCCGAATCATATGGCATGGTATCAGAAAATCATCAATAAAGAATATCTATTCTAAATAAAAATAATGCGATCCAACAATGGCCAATATTAAAGATCATTATTACGTCGGCAATTACATAAAAAATGCTCCACTAAATGCAAAGCTCAATAAAATACCCAAACACGAATATATAATTTAATAATTAAATCCTAAGAAAATATACGGCATTAATATATAGCGTAATATTATACCAATTTTCTATATATTAAAACGTCATATATATTATAAAAATATTTCTTAAAATACTATATATATTTTTAAATCTTTATTTAAATAAAATTAAAAACACTAATTTTAAATATAATAGTTAATATGTTATTTTTTATATATATAATAAAAAAATATGCGATATATATATATATAAAATAATCGAATTCAATAATTATTATTCATATTATATATAAATAATACTACATTATTAAATCCAAATAAATTATATAATATATTTTTAAAATTATTTACAAAATATTTTAAAATATAAAAATCATTTAAATTAAATCAATATTTTTTATTAACATAACATAACATAAAAAATATTAAATATTTATATTATAATATATATTAACATAACATAACATAAAAAATATTAAATATTTATATTATAATATATAAAATATAAAATAAATATATCATTCAAAAGAATATCTTCGATATATCTTCCTAAAAATATAATTCCAATCAATAAATAGAAAACCATAAAGAAACATAATTAATACAAACAAAAATCTAATATTTTCTCAATCGCCTCACAACACCCAATATAAACAAAATCATAAGAACATTCGAAAGATCAATAAATAAAACAAATCAATCGTCTCCATAAATAAATAATATTACCTTTAAACAACAATAATGTTGTTAGCATATAATATATTTAATATATTATCTATTTTAAAATTCGTAATCTAATACCTATAATTAAATTACAATATTATCCATTACAATCTATCGTTCATTATCAAAATTCGGATTAATATAAATTTTTTAAACATTAATAACCTTAACCTAACAAACAAATAAGATAATAAGATCCAAAACAAATAAATCGAAATCATTTTTGCTAATAAACTATTTCTACCAACCGCACCGATATAGTACATTATAAAGCTATATATAAATTGAAAATGGTATTTATCTGTATCTCTCTTTATATATATATATGAATAATTTGAATTATGTTTTTCCATTTTGGAAATGGTATCCAGGGTGCAAATAATTTGCTGATTCGATTTCACACAGCAACGGGATTTTTTGGCAAAGTCTTTCTGATGCTGATTCGCAAGTGATGAAGAACAGAAGTAGCCTCTTTGATTGTTCTAAACACTGACCACATCATGTCCTTTGTTGACCAACTCTTTTTATAGCTTGCCACCGCTATTGCTCGTGCTGTCCACACAAGGTTCAACTAGCCCTACTGACAGTTGAATATGAAGTGGAACTGAACTTGAAATCAACAAGGAAGTCTCCTACTCAGCATTTTTCTTTGACAAGTTCCACTTTCATCAGGGAGCATGCTGAGTCTGAGTGTACAAATTGTACTGAGTCCAGGGCAATGGCACAAGGCTGATATGAATAATTAATTACGGCTCATGATCGGATTGGGACCATTGGGTTAATAAGATTGAGCTTGTCTGATGATGTAAGTGTTGTCCAAATCAAACCCTTGGCCAAACACACGTGACATTCCGCCAATGGTTTACTGTCTCTTCAAAACTGGTCGACGGCCTTGTGCCCTGCTGCACGCTGGTGGTGAAGCTACAGCTTCGCTGGTGGCGAAACACAGCTCCGTCGGATGTCTTCGCCTGAAAACTAACAGCCAGCCAGCAAATAGTGCAGCGCCAAGCATCCCAGTCCCTATCCCATCCCACGAGAATTGGGATAGTGTGTGGTGGAGGCTTGCAAGAAACTACAAGTATCCTTCTGTGACTCTGATTGTGAGACATCCCTTGTCAAGATGTTCAACCAAATTCTCTGTTCCATATGCAAGATCCATATCAATCTCCCTTTCCTCCCGACAGCGCCTTTCTACTGTTCTTCACTGCCGGTGATCTGCCAAAGCCTGTCTTGTGCTTTGCGCGAACAACTAGCAGCCTACCGTAGCCTACCCCCCTCTACAAACAAGGAACCAATCTCGGGTGCCAAATGTACAAGTCAGTACAAGGTATATAAGTTATATAAGCCAACAAATTGCCATCCGTCCGTCATCTTGTGTTAGGGCCAGTGATTCCATAAAACATATATAACTATAAGTACATCTGAAGACCATTCAGGCATACCCTCAAAAAAAGCACTTGGACCCTTTGGTACAGCTTCTCAGCATTGCCCTAGCCTGAACCATCCTGAACCAAACTCAGCGGCCTTTCTCGTCTCATCATCTTCTCATTGAACACCACTGCATCCTGTCCAATGTACCTCGACCCACCAGCGATTCCCATGATACAGGCTCAAGCCATGCAATCTCTGTAACATTTCACAGAACCCATCAAACACATTCAAAACACAGGTATCTTTTTCAGTGATTTACTTTTACTTGCCAATAAGTGCTAAATATATATATATACACATGTATTATAGAGTCCATTATGTTGCACTCAAATGAACAAACATACTGAAACCGGAACCGTATTACTCAAGGACTTCAGGCCTTCTTGCCCCTGCAGCATCATGAACATTGATAAACCACAACAACAAACCATCGCCTTCGCCCGTGTGGGCGCCAGCAGCGGATGACATCGAGGTCGCGTTGCGCAAGCTCCTTCTGCCAGCCCAAGGCTGAGAGCCTCGGGTGGGCGCTTGGTTCGGGTCAGCGGTTTTTGGTATGGTCCTTGGCTCAGTTGTGAGACCGTGCGACGTCGAAGGTACAAGCACAGTAAACACCGGCACCCATTCGGGGGTCCATCCAAGAGCCCTTCACTCTACCCAAGACATTGAAGATCATTGAAGGGTTCTGGCACGTGTAAAAAGGATATAAAATTTCATGGGTAGTTGTGATTGCGTTGTGTGAATATCATCCCTTGACGATCTGACTGATGACTGACCACGTTTTCAGGCTTCGTCAGGTTACAATTCAGCTGATGATGGCAACCACACATTTTGCTCAGCAGCAACTCCCCGCAAATCTTGCGCCACCTGCCACGCATGGCGACGCATGGTCCCTGTAAGCGCGTATTGGGGTGTCCGGCGTGGTCAGCACACCACTGCCTAGGTTGCGAGCCAGGGGTTGAAACAAACGGGATGTTTGAATCTCTGAGATGGATGACCGGCTGGCCTGTCCAGCTTGGACTCTTAGGGTTCAAACCGGACTGGGCCGCACAAAACCCGGGAAAGCGCCGGTGTCCCAGGGACCGGTCCGGGCCGCCTTCGTTTGGAGAGAATGTTGGAGAAGATCAAGAGGGGAGAAGAAATGAACAGATAGGATACAGTTTTGGGTGTTTCTTGTATGAAGGAAAAGAGGTCAAAGAATTCCTCTGACAAAGTGTGCCATGATGTGCCATTTTATATATATATATGATTTCAGGAGATCCCCCGAGCTTTTGGAAGCTGTTGGTGGGTTGAACCATTATTGTGTGAACTCTTTTTGGAGATTGGGTTCCCACCGCGGATGAACACTTGCCTGATAAGCTCAGCTGAGTGTCCCCACAAACAATCCTTGCCATACTCGATCAGCCTGTTCGCTGGTGGACTTGAAATCAGCCAGGAGATCCTCGCCAGGCAAAAAACATATGATTCTTCTTTCCCCGAACACAAGCCGCCCAGTGACCCACTTGGTTCGGAAATCACAGCAATTCAACCAACAATCATCCTCTTGGCCTCATCGCATCAGCGCTCCAACACGTTTGACATGGGGACTGCCGGGCGGTGGTCTGGACTACTGGATGTGAGGTATTCAGAGACGAGGTAGTGGAATTTCCACCTGAGTGCGGTGTTCCATGAATGTGTTGGTTCTCCGATCGTTTTTCAAAAGAAATACAATGAAATACATTAAATTCTGGTTATTGCCTTTTTAGGAGTTCAAAGAAACACGTGTTTTTATGTCTTGCGAGAAATGAATGACGACCTTCAGTTTCGGCCTCGTAATGCTTCAAGTACTGACAGGCCTCCCCGGCCTTGGAAGTTGGGACGATGGTCTTGACACCATGGACTGGCAGCGTCTGGCCCGGAAGAGTAGCCTGGGCGTCGTTCGGAACGTCGAACGTTCAGCCAGACCTCAGCAGGCGATTGCCTGAGGTGCCCACCAGGCGACCGGCGGAAGATGGACGGCTTGCCAATTTCAATGTCCTCTCACCATGGGCCTGCCTCGGCACGGCTTCATGTTTTTTCTGAAAAAGGTGAGAACAGTAATACATGTTAATACACTTATTGTTTCTCAGCAGGTGGTACAAAGGCGAAAAAACAGAACGTAGAACTCACAAAATCCGGCACTTAACAACGTCCTGATCCCAGTCAAATGTCGATGGCCAATTGGATCTTTTTTTTCCCCCCTCAACCTTCGATGGAAATTCCGAGTCGACGAAGTTTACAGGATGCTGCACGTGAGGAGAGCCACTTCCTGCCCTCTGGCGTCACATTTTGAGTGTCCCAGCGCCACTTTCGAGCAGCTGCTTCTAACCCGGTCCTTCGATGGCCATGGGGTCCGGTCGGGCCTTTTTCAACGAGCTGCGCTGCTCAGGATCTGATGGGATGTTTGGCTCAGTCGATTTCTTCCGCTCATCCAAAGCTTTGGATCCCAGATCCACATATTATAAGGCTGATCCACATATAGGTATATATACGACCCAGTAAGAAGAAAAATACGTTCTTCCTCTTGAAGTATATATATATATTATGCATATGATCATATGATGCATAAGGAACCGGTGTTTCTAATTAGATCTATGGTTTGAGTCTTTGGAGCACTGGTTACCAGCGACTTAGTGGGAACTGTGGCGCCCATCGCCCATCTCCTTGTACTCGGCGTAAGCCAACAGCGAGGGACGCTGAACCTGGGGGTAGCCGCCGGCGCGCTCCGCCTGACCAGTAGGGCCGCATAGGGCCAAAGGCTGGTGGACCGATTTGGACTGCGTGAAGATTGGGGCGATACAGTAGGGGCATGTGTTGGACATTTATGGGATTCGTACTACGAAATGAGTATTTCCATGAATGTGTTGGTTCTCCGATCGTTTTTCAAAAGAAATACAATGAAATACATTAAATTCTGGTTATTGCCTTTAGGAGTTCAAAGAAACACGTGTTTTTATGTCTTGCGAGAAATGAATGACGACCTTCGGTTTCGGCCTCGTAATGCTTCAAGTACTGACAGGCCTCCCCGGCCTTGGAAGTTGGGACGGTGGTCTTGACACCATGGACTGGCAGCGTCTGGCCCGGAAGAGTAGTGGGCGTCGTTCGGAACGTCGAACGTTCAAGCCGTGGCAGCCAGACCTCAGCAGGCGATTGCCTGAGGTGCCCACCAGGCGACCGGCGGAAGATGGACGGCTTGCCAATTTCACTGTCCTCTCACCATGGGTCTGCCTCGGCACGGCTTCATGTTTTTTCTGAAAAAGGTGAGAACAGTAATACATGTTAATACACTTATTGTTTCTCAGCAGGTGGTACAAAGGCGAAAAAACAGAACGTAGAACTCACAAAATCCGGCACTTAACAACGTCTTGATCCCAGTCAAATGTCGATGGCCAATTGATGCCAATTGGATCTTTGCTTGTTGCCCCCCTCAACCTTCGATGGAAATCCCCCTGAAAGACCCCGAGTCGACGAAGTTTCTTGAGCGGTCTGAGATCCGTCACTTGGGTGGCATCACAGCGCCTTGCGTGAGGCCATGGGTCACCTGGATCAAACATAGCGAAAGGTCGCTCGAGACGATGACGCGATGAGGTGGTTGTACGTTAACATTGCAAAACGGAGGACAAACATGGAAAAACGAAAGCTTGTCTGGACAAGGACGGCTAAAAATGCTATACTGTTAAAAATACATTCAGTTTCTAACTGCAATGAGCGATCTGGATAGAATGTATCTATGGATGTCTATGGTAAGGCTGCTGAACCACAAACATGCTACCCTTCAGTTTCTTGTTCCAAAGCACGTGAAACCACAGGCCATTCAATCCGTGCTGTCAAGAAAGGCGGAGAACGTCACTGAAGCATGGCAAGTGCTTCGGCTCGAGGCGGGCAACGTCTGAATGTATGCTATTTCATCCCCCCCGGGCCTGAAGAGGTTCTAGAATCCAACTGGAGGAGCAATGGGGGCGGGCTGGACATGGCTAGACATCATATATCATCATATTACCTTTTGTCCCTTCGTTGTCAGCCTTGGGCCTTGGGTCTTTATATAATTGGCCTCCATGTTGAGACCCATCCACTCTCCATCCGAACCAGTGGATTGCAACCAGTTTTCATCTTCCCAAACTCGTTTGCAGCAACCTGGATAAACGAAATGCATCCAAGCTAAGATCTGCTCAAAATCCCCCAGTGGCCCTCCGCCCTCTCAAGTCCCTTCGGGACTAAAAACCAACTCCACCTTCACTGGCCCCATTGTCGCAGCGAACTCTCTGACTCTCCTGTCGAGGTGTCCAGCCGACGCAGTCGAGGCGTCGAGCCGATGAGACGAGGTGTCGAGCCGATGAGTCGAGGTGTCCAGCCGATGAGTCGAGGCGTCGAGCCGATGAGTCGAGGCGTCGGGCCGATGGTTCCAAACAGAAGGACTTCTGAGACAAACGAGACACACTGACTACATAGCACGACTTGATGCGACTTGCACCCTCGACGAAGAGAAATTTCTGTACTCAAAGGTTCCTTGGCTCCTTTTTCTATGATTAAACAGTAACATGTAAAACATATAACCTCGCCTCGCTGTATACCCCATATTACACCATGCGTACGTCGCAAATTACAAGGCAGGTCATATATATGGGAAACATGCACCACTTACGCAACGGCGCATAATTTTATATCCAATGCAACATGCAAAGTTCTACACTACTACGTGTATATTTAGTGGTTGCGCATGTATGTCTTCTCAGGCCACCAGGGAACCCAAGAAAACGACAGAAAACCATATTGGAAAGCGGGATGTCATCACAAAGGATCAGAGGGGAGGTTTCATGTTCCGAATCCACTGATTGGAGGAACCACTCACAATCATATTTGCTTGGAATACTGCAGCCATATCGTCTTGGCGGCGGAGATGTTGGTCACTTTTCTCTTGGAAGTGGGTGATTTTGCCTCTCCACACGCTTGAACGAGCAAGGACGCGAACATTTGCGATTCGCTCAAAGACTTTTTATTTCTTGACACTGCTCACTTGTGCGTCTGAGTTACGTGATGTCAGATGGTGAAAGGAAGCAGACGAAGTCATCACCACTTCTACTTTTGCGAGAAACTTATCTGAAGACTGCAATTTGATACAATTTGCACTAGAACATGCAAATACCTGGTCTACACATGTAAGTTGTTCATTTTCTAGCAGAGTGTTTTAACTTATCTTTGTAGGAGACTGCAGGCGTATCCCACTAGACAATGAGAGTTCCAGATTGGTCCAGGTATGTTTGGCATATTCTAGTTGTCAGTGAAACTGACCACGCGCAGAAAAGTCTACCAAAATTTTGTTGCTAGAAAATGACAGGTCCAGTTGTGTCCAGGAAGGCTTGCCATTTTCTAGTGTTGATTAGATGCTGCAAGCCCAGGAAGATGCACGCTTGGAAGTCTTCGCTTGCAGCCAGCAAAGATTGCCCGGATAAGGTGACTTGAACTGCAGACAACGGTGAGAATTAATGGGATTTGTGGGGGTATGATGAGAATGGATGAGATATGTAGTGTCGAGAAGTGTATACAATGTTATTGTACATGTTTGTTTCCCTCTATCAGGGCCTCAGATGGTTCATGGTTCATGCTGTGGATATCGAGAGCTCCAAGTTTTTTTGTGAAACCTTGCGCTCTGGCCATGGTGCACGGAATGCTTCAAGCTTTCCTGCTACTTCTTTGCACATTGTTGCGTAATTATGTTGCTAGAAAATGAGGTTCCTGGGTTGTATCACTTCTCATTTTCTAGTAGTTGTGGCTTGGGACCCAAAAGGGATACGTTGCACATTGTTGCATAATTGTGTCGCTAGAAAAAGAGGTTCCTGGGTTGTATCACTAATGATTCTCATTTTCTAGTAGTTGTGGCTTGGGCCCAAAAGAGATATGTTGCACATTGTTGCGTAATTATGTTGCTAGAAACTGAGCTTCCTGAAATGTAGCACTAATGGTTCTCATTTTCTAGTAGTTGTGGCTTGGGGCCAAAAAGAGATATGTTGCACATTGTTGCGTAATTGCGTTGCTAGAAAATGAGGTTCCTGGGTTGTATCACTAATGATTCTCACCTTGCACCCACTAGAAAATGAGGACTCCTCATGTCAAGAATTCTTGACCAGCAGCTATGTTTGTAGATCTTGAGGATTTGAAGCTTATGTTTACTATTTGGTATTACTTTGTTTTGTTTTACTTACGCTCCGTCTTGACTCCTCATGATTCATCATGTTTGCGAGAAAATCAGGAACCCCACTACAAAATGAGGATCACGGTGGGCTCAAGAAAACAAGGTGATGTCTAGAAAATGACCCTGCCAGCATGCCTATGAGACCTGTGATCCTCATTTTCTAGTGACCTACATGTCACTAGAAAATGCAATACCTGACCCTTTCTCGGTGAGTTTACCTCTTTGAGACTAAAGAATGCCCGTTTTCTACACACGTCAACCCCTCCCATTTTCTAGTCCGAATATCATGGGGAATATGTTTCCTATATATATGATCTGCCTCGTTGAGTCAATGATTTCGAAGTATATACAATCTGCCCAGCATGCACCGCACATTTCGATTGGCCGGGCACACGGGCTAGGCATACAGCCCGAACAACCACGCGGACCAGAGATGGTGCGGCCGACATCGTTGTGTTTGAATTGCCAAGCAAGTGGTGGCATCTCGAATCGCCCGAACAGCTCAGCCACCCATATATCATCAAAAATCATCAAACATCTCATCATCCTCGAACCAATTTGGGCACAACGTGAGAAAGTGAAGCACCCAAATCCATCCGACGTCGACGGTCATCGAATATGTTGGAAGATGCAAGTGAGTTCAGAAGTTGCTCTCTAAGTCGCAAAATGAAGAGTTACTGTGAAAAACCGAAGTAAAAGGCTTCCAAAAACCACAAGATAGCTTGGTGGAAGCACTCTGGTCACCACAAACGCGCCGCGGCACCGCGGCACCGCGGCACGGCGGCACGGACGCGCCTGCTTCCACGGAGGTCTACGAGACGTGCCGCGCCCCCCACTGAGCCTAAACATTGCAGAAACGAAGCCTCTCTTCACCATGACCTTTCCAGCTTCCGGGGACAGAACCCCCATGAAGCCAAGGGGTGTAGTGCCAGGCCCTTCAGGTCAAACCGACCGTGGAGGCTGCTTTTTTGAATGTGCTCAACCATGTTTAAAACATCGGATGCATGGGCGTTCCATCCATGTCCATCCTAATCAACTGCAAGAGTTCGGATGCGGAAAAAACTCACTCCCTAGCCTAGAACCTAAGGGTGCATGGAGTTCATGGGTGGCAGTGTGCATATATGTTAATTTGTTCTTTTCTGCCCAAATGGATCCAAAGTCGTGTCTCGTGATGCAAACGAACTTTCAGCCGCGGTGGCCAGGATGATGGCCGGCTTTCCCAAGATGGCTGAAACCATCTGCAAAACAGGGTGTCCCTTTGGGAAGTACAAGCAGTATGCAAATGTCTTCCTGCATGCAACAATGAACTTGAATTAAATGAAGGATGGGTCAACTGAAAAGGACTTCAATGAACTTGACTTGCTGCCGATTCTCGGCTCTCTTTTTGCCACCCTTTTGATTTTTCTTGGGTGAAGTTCTGGACGTCGGCGACGCCTGCAAGAAAATCCGCCATGCAACATGGGAGAAGATGTCTACTGGCATGTCTGTTTCAATGGTTGCAAATAGATCGTTTGACATGTTCCATGGGATGTCCCGTGCCGGGTCCTCCAATGAACGAGTTGCCTCCGCGAGAAATGGACGAATGACCTTCCGGTGATCTGGTCTTAGGTCACATCTCATGCTGGGCTTGACGCTGTCGGAACTTGCCTCAGGGTTCTGGCCATTCTTGCCTTGCTCCACAGGAACCCAAGCCTCATCCCACTCATCGTGCGGACCGAGCAAGTGGGGAGAGATGCTCAGAAGATTATCACTATCTATCTTTGAAACAATGATAGAATCCTTGAGGAGTTTACTCAAGACTAAAAGACTAGAAAATGATTGCAGCAGCGACAACAATTATTATCTGCTTCTCAAGGTCTGAGAAATCTTACAATCTTTTGTTCCCGTACTGGTCAGAAAGGGTTTGCTTGTCTTGCGGCTCTAGAACTCATCGTTTACCCTGCCCTGTCAGATGACGACGGCAAAACGGATCTCTTTCCAGGGCTTGATGATTGGGTGCGTGGGGCAGCCATGCATGCACAGCCACTAAGGTGCACACGACATGACAACTGCATCTGTGAGTCTGGGCAAACACTACATGCACCCTGT